CTCTGCACCTTTGCTCTTTTACTGAAGCATTTTTTAATCTACCCACTCATAGCTGCAGGGTACTCAGCATTTACTCGTATCATCCCTTAAACGTTCTCAGACTGTAAATTGCTCCATTGCTAAATCTGGGTTTCCTGATAATGACACCAGCTTTGTTTAAATCCTCATTATTGCTGTTTCTAGGAATGAAGCAAGGCAGCAATCCAACCCCAGCCCTGTTCGACTGTATAAATCATTCTCTTTATGCAGTTAAAGGAATTGTGGATGTCATGATCTTGGCACCATAGGCTAGGGTGACCATATTTTCATTTGGGAAAACCAGGACACCTTGGAGCGGGGAGGGGTTTGATTGAAAGAACAAATGTCTCATCATCAAGATTTGCTCCGTGATGAGAGGAAATGTTACTTGTTACTAGTTGTTTTAATGGTTATAGAGTCAGATATGTGGCGGTAATGTTTGATTTATCTAAAGGTTTTTATCTGTTACTGTGTAAATGGGTTTGGCTGTAATTTAAGGACAGATTCTAATAGATCTGCAGAGTGGGGACTATAAAGCTGATAGGATTTTAATTTTTTTATTCTTGTTTTGCAAAATATGCTTAACTAAGTATTTTTTGTTGTTGAATATTAGAGATTTTGCAGATACATTTTGTAGATACATTGTTTAGATTTACTTATATCTCTCTACCCCTTTTATAGAATAGAATAGAAAATCTCTTTATTGTCCCACAATGGGCAAATTTACAGCAGCAGAAAGATTATTGAAAATGGTCACACAAATGAGGACCTTAGAGAAATGTATAAGAATAACATAATAGGGAAGAGTTAAAATATAAATAATAAAATTCTGTAATGTGTTTTAACAATATAAAACTGGAGAATAAATAAACAATATGCAGCTATGGACATTTTTACAGTAATGGATATTTGAAAATAGCAGCAACATCAGAGATGTGCAGAATGACAGCAGCAGGTTATTTAACTGACTAAGGTTTCTATCATTACATTTGATTTGATTTGTTCCTGCTCCCGGTGGTTGGAACCTTTATTCCACTCTGGATTCTTGTGAGTGTAGTCTTTGTTCAAATAAATAAACAGTTTTGAAAACCTCGGTATTCATTCTTTTCCTGCTTTGTGTGTCAACTTTCACGGTTGCTAAGCAACAGAGGATACGGCGGTAAAACCCGCCGAAGGGAGGACCTGTTCGAATTTACAGCCAAAACTCTTCCGGCCTCCTTATTTTCAAGGACTTCGAAGGATCCAGTCTAGGTAGACCGCGTCCTTGGAGGATGCAGCCCAGGACGCCCGGGACAGGACGTGAAATACGGATATGTCCCGGGAAATACGGACGTTTGGTCACCCTACCATAGGCTGGGTTTTACTCCTTCACCTCTGATCTGCTTTGCTCCACCCTACGCCTATCATCTCTTATCATATCCACCTGTCCCTCCTGCTATTTATGCCACCGGGTCCATGGTGCCAGATTATTAAAGCTTTCAACGGGTCTAATTCTAGCTTTTCTTTATGTGTATATTTCTCCCTGATTCTGACCTGTTTCTGCCAGCGGATTTCTGAGTTTCACCCGCCCCTGTTCTGCTGTTTTTGCCTGTGCTTTGTTTCTGGACTGTTACCTGGATTTCTCCTGTTGTCAACCTTGGATTATCCTTCTGGATCCCTCTGTTCCTCTGTCTGTTCTGGCTGCTGATAGTTGCTGCTCCTCTTCTCTCCTGGATCTCTGGTACCGGCTCAGTTTATAATCCGCGGAGTTCCGCTCCTCTGGACTTCACTCCTTCTTCTGAGCTCAGACTGAACTTTGCTACGTTGGTGACTTTCAAGCTCGTTGTCTTTCCCAGTTTGAGTTTCAGTCTCCTAAGTCTCCATCCCCGCAGCGTATGCAGCCGCACGCAGTCTTTTCAATAAAACACCTTTTAAGTATAATTGTCTGTCTTGTCTGAATACAGGGTTTTTATGTTCTGAGCCCTCTGACAGTGGAGGGTTTTCACTTTTTTTTCACTTAAAAAAATGCACATACACAACCCTGTACCCGCTGCGAAGAGGAAACGCCTATTAAACGCATGCGAGAGCGTGCAGGGGCCCATTTCTCCTTGTGCACACTCTGTTTAAAAGTTGCTGTTCTCATAGCTCATACAAGCTCACCGTGTCCGTACGGCCGCTCTAACCCCTAAATCCCTCCATCACTATATAGAGCGGGGACTATATAGTGGACTTTACAGTGAACTCAGTTAACTGACCGTTCGGACAGATGATCACTACTCCCTGTTGGTATTAGTCGCAGCTGTAGGGAAGCGACAGCCTATGACGACAGCGGGCCGCTGTGACAGCAAATCCCATAATGCTTTGCGAGAAGAGCTCTCTGCACAAAGCATTCTGGGATATATCTGCGTCTTCTGAGGCTTTTCTTTTCTTCTCATACACTTTATAGACACTTTTTCTCTTTCTCTTACGACCCTCGGCCCTTTTCAAAGAACGGCGGTGAGAAGGGTGAGCTTCATTGACTGTCTGAAACCGTAGCTCACCACAGATATACGCCGGACAGTGCGCATGAGCAGAAAATATGGCTAGCTGGGGGCGAGCACGTAGGACGGCCTTACGTAAACACGTCCCCAGAATGATTGACAATGAGGAGGACCACTTATTTTGATGATCCGTCCGGAAATAAAAGATCATCCTCTATACCTTTAACTGGGGTCTACAATTAGCTAAAACCCCACTGCTCTGTTCTATTCCAACATGGACAACTTTTTATGACATGTAGGTGGAGAGCTACATCTGGTGTCAATGGAGATACTTGATAAGACCAGATAAAGGACGGTTTGATGCACTTTAGTGGTTTAGTGTATTGAGATGTAATTTTACTGGTGATTTATATGTCAACCACTAAATAAACTTCTCATTCTACCAGAGAACTCAGGGGTACTTGACCAAGCAATATTTGACGAGTTGGAAGTGAGACTATATTGTTTGATCGTACATTTGTGTGTTTTGATACTTTAGTTATATAGAAATCATTACACATGCTAAGACAATTCAAGCAATTGTTTTTTGTTTGTCCCAAACGGCATAAATATCGATAAGCAGACACAGCGTTTGCTTTCGGGCCCACAACGTCTTAGAGGCCCCATCACTGACACCTAGTAGGCCAACTACGCAATTGTAGACTAGGACGTCTCTTTGCAGATGTAATGGTGCAAAAAATTCCTCTTAAACCTACCTGATACTGACATGACTGAACAAAGCTGACCGCACCGGAAAGTATTTATACCACAACACATGGCAGATTTCACCATAATGGTGAGCCGTTTAAACACGACATCAATAGCAAAGTAGACAGTGGTACTTTTAATTACTATGTTAATAACTGTTTATAGTTCATTAGACAGTTGGTAAAAATACACTCGTATAATATGTTTCAATCCGCAATAAAAATCTTAAAAGAACGATGTATTTGAGTATTTTATTGTTTTCACTATGGCTTGGAATTATAGGTAATCCAGAGCTTGGATTAAAACCATAACAGTTACGTACAATGTGTTAGAGACAATGGATACCAAAAAGGGATACTTAAGTGGACTCCAGAAAAGAAAAAGGAAAGAAGAGCTGCTGGAAGAACAGAAAATAACTTCCCAAAATAAACACGTTCTTCCAAAGAACTGATGATTGGAAAGAAAATGGTTCTATTCTAGTCACAATTTTTTCCATGTGTGATGTGTGATCACATACTACTGAGAATTGCATAATTGTGTCTTCTTGGCCGATTTATGGAACTGTCGCCGTAACCTGAACCTTTCTCACATGTTGTACTTCGTATGGGGCTCACCCATATAATGTTGGGCCTATTGTTGTGTCGTTACGCCATTGTTTGACCCCTAGTTGCCCTGGGGCCGGAATCAGTTGCTCAGTTTGCTTATGATTCGTGCTGGCCCTGTTTAGGTTGACCTGAACACTGATACTGTATCATCAAGATTTGGAACAACCTTCACATAAAACACAATGTTGCTCAAAATAAGTCTAGCAGCATTAATAGTACGCTGTCTCTTTAAGGCCAATTTCAGCTGTGCATATAAGCAGGTACCCACCTGACATCAAATCCATCTGCTTCCTCTGTTAAACTGTGCTTTGCTGCTCCTCCAACACTTGGACTGATCTCTCCTGTTTGTTTGCTGGCGGGAAGCTGCACTGCGTGGGCAGCGCTGTGGATCCGTTTATCTGGCAGTGTGGTAACTTACCAGGTCACAGTTTCCTGCTGAAGTCTTTGATTGGCATTACGACTGGATTGACTCTCGCTGCTGTTCTGCTTATCAGGAGATGTTTTAAGAGACTTACCCGAGCTTACCCTGCTGTCAGGAACATTGATGGCACTACTAATAGGACACAGTGCAATATTGTAGTGTCATGTGTCATGGTTTTTCTTGTAGAGGCTGAGGTTTCTGTGGTGGCAGTGGCGACCCCTGGTGGGGGTGTCTTGTATTGTGAGCTGTGTTGGAGCACACCCATTTTTTTGTGTTTGCTCTGTTTTTGTGGTGTCCAGGGTGATCCGTTTTCTTCACTTGATGTTGCCCCCCACCCCACCCCCATTAGTAAGCCCCAGTTTCCTTTGAAATTTTACTATTTTCAATGTTGATTAAAAATGCATTCACTATTTTAACCATTTATTTTCAGGTTATTGTTCATATAAACCTACTGATGTTAATAAAATGAATTACTGATTAAATGAATTAATTAATCTTGTCTCATTTCTAGCAGAACTTACCTGCGTCCTTATTTCCACTAAATGTTCCTGGAGTTATTCCAGGTGTTGGTTTCCCATAATAAACAAAAAGAAAAGAAAAATCCACCCCAGGGTTGCCACATAAGTTTTTTTTTTTTTTTTTTTTAGAATAGTTAATTGCTTGAGAGTATTTTGCAATCAGCCCTAACCCTGCAGCTTTCTGACAGGTGGCTCCTCGCTCTGTAATTGGTCCAGACCGCCCCCAGCAGAGAGCATGGCCCCTCATGAGGGCGCCTGGTCGCAGGCGGCGGCTCAGTCTGCTTCCTCGCTGCGTCTCCGCTCACATCCACGGCGCTGCCGCCGGAATCCATCATGTTTTATCTGCTGGTGCTTTTTTTTTTCCACATGACGCTTTCTGATGTGCCATGAAACGATTCAGCCCGCTGCAGATGTGAGATGATCTGCTTTCGCCATGGCCAAAGGTCCGTTTCCGTGGGGGGTCCTCAGAAAGCCTCTGATCGTCCAGGTAAGCTCTGGGTGGGGGGGTTGATTGCGCGCTCATTCAGCGGCTGCATGGAGGCATCAGATGAAGCGGCTGATCTCTGTCACATTCATGGCATGTTTAACCGCCGATGGCTGCAAATCTGCAGATTCATCTGAAGGTTTTTCCGAATGACTCATAAAGTCACTTGATGCTCGGCGGGGATCAGCCATCATCCTGAGCCCGGTTGCTGTAGCAACCACTTCCATGGTACAGCTGGAACATCACGCATTCAAACCAGCTCTGAAACTTTTTACATCTCAGTGGAGTACATCAGACCGCCAGATGTTGTCACCCCTGGTAAACACCTAGAATATTTTAGTTGTGTCCAGGCTTTACCTGGAAATAATCTCATATAATCCATGGGCTGGCACTCTCTGTATGGAGGGATGTTTGGTCCATTATTGTTACAAGCAAAGAAAAATGAAAATATTGCAATTCAGAAATGAAACTTCAAAAAATCCTTCTTAATCCAAAACAGGATTTGAGAGTAACTTTGTTGTTTTCTTAGATTTTATGTATTTATTTAATAATTTATTTATTTGTAAAATTTCTGTTTTTTCAAACTGAGTTTTGTCAGTTTTATTCTTTTCAGACCAATGGAAATGCAGCTTTGCTCCTCAATCTTAAAGGAAAAGTCCGGTCAGCAAGGAATAATCAATGGATCATTATTTATACCTAAAACTAATACGTTCGCGATGATTTAATGAATTTAGCGTTAATCAGTAAAAAAAAAAAAATTAATTATATTTATCGTCGCGATCAGAGTCTGGGAGCGGCCATTTTTGCCCAAATATAGTAACCCCTCCCTCCTGCCATCTTCCAGCAGTGACGTCACGGTGCGGTAAGCCTAGCGCCATTCTCCCCGCTTTACAAGCTAAATCAATGGGAACTACTAGACACATCTGCAATCAACAACAATTATTGAAGATTTCCAGAGGACTTTACCATTGAAATTCACCAGAGCTATAGTGAAACTGACAATGAACACGTGCATGGCAGCTGGATGCTGGAATACATCGGGTAAAAGTGAAAAAAATAAGAGTTATTCCACCTTTCTGATTCCTGATCCTCCACGGATGGGTTGGTCGTTGGATCGCCAACTTGAAGAGGGAGGATTTGCCATCGAACTTCTGGCCAGAGAAAAAACCCGTAATATGTAGCCAACATTTGGAAGAAGAATGTTTTCAAGATGACTTGGATAATAGCGCGTTGTGACAAACACCAGATACAGCACTGGGACTTGATCAACAGCCGATACCGCACCGTGACGTCACTAACCAGTAGGTGGCAGTAGTGTTCTTTGACAAACATGGATGCCTCCAGTAAAGCACATTCACATGAAAATTACTCTTAATTAAAAACACTGATCATTTAGCAAACAGTATGGAATAATTTCACATTTGAAGTACTTTTATAAATTTGAATTTAACTTTTCCTTTAAGGAAAGCCGTCCCCCAGAAGTGAAGAGAATAATGTGATCTGGGAAGCAACATTTTAAAAGGATGGACGTCAGAAAACTAAGTCTGAAAATGAGAAGTTTGAAGAATAAAATTTGAAAAGATAAAATCTTTTGAAATTAAGACGTTTTTTAAAACTGGATTGCATTTTTAAAATTTTTATATTCCTTTACAAAATGTGTTCTTCGATCGCAATAATAATGGAAAATAATTTTTGTTTCTAAATAGTTAAAAACACGCTGCATCATTTTTAGACCCGTCTTCATCCGTACAAACGAACCCAAATATATTGTGATAAAAACCAGGTGCTCATGCAGGGGTTTGCAAAGTGAGGGTCGGGACCAGCAGGGGGGTTTATGAGGTGATAATTGGTTTTCACCATGAGGTGATCTCTACATGAGCTAAATGAATATACTATGAAATATGTAGATCTTACATTTATTTACTCATATATACATGATTAAAAAATAATTAGAATATTAAATCATAAAATGTAAAGTTAAATATCTAAACATGCCATTAAACTATCAAAAAGACATTTAAAATGATTATTTACATAACTAAATGCCATATTTTACTCATTATTTATTTAATACACATAGACTGGAGTAATTCTGGGGTGTCCAGTCTGTAATTATTTGTTATTTTTGGGGTTTTAGGCTGAAATGTTTGGGAACCTTTGTGCTAATGTAGCCCAATGATCGAAATGCACTACCTGGATCATTGGTTTAAAGGTTACTTTGTCACATGCGCCAATTCACAACACAAGTCATCTCAAGGCACTTTACAGTTCAACCAGATCATACAGTTTTCTATCTAAGGAAAACCAGTTGATTGCATCGACTCATTGACTCAAATACAATCCCTCACACTAAGCATGCTTGTAGCGACAGTGGAGAGGAAAAAACCCCTTTTAACAGGAAGAAACCTCCAGCAGAACCAGGCTCAGTGTGAGCGGCCATCTGCTGAGGCGGACTGGGGTTCAAGGAGACAGAAGCAGACATAGAAAAAGAAGCATAGATACAAAAAGCAACTGTCAACCAGCTCCACAATGTCCAGAAAAAGCAGAGAGAGCATAATGTTAGAGATTGAACTAACAGATTCTGCAGAATAGTAGAATAGAGATAAAATGAAGCAGAATGATGAAAAAGGGGTCCCCTATGTCCTCCAGAAGTCTAAGCCTATAGCAGCAGAACTATAGGTTTTATTCAACAGAAGGAAAAGCTTTAGGGCTAACAAAATTGGATGATTACTTTCTTTGGTCATATTGAATCAAGTTTCTTTTTTTATCATTTTTTGTGGGAATATGCTACTTTGATACTAGGTCATTTGTTTTAGGTTTTTTTTTGCATAAATTTACAGGATGTAATCGACAATCGTCTATAGATGGGATCCAGAGGGACTGAGACTGGCTGAATGCTTTCATGCAAATCCACAAAAAAGCTGCGCTGCTGATTGGAAAAATTAGGATGAAACCAACTGTTGTTTGCATCTTATATGATAAACTGCTTGGAAAGCATCCATAGGATGTTTGGGGATCTTATCCATTTACATGTAGATTTAAATCCAAATTAAAATCTTAAAGGAATAGTACTTATATTCAAACTACAGTAAATGATTTGCTTCTTTTTTTAATGGTTAAAGACATCCAGCTGGAGCCACTTGTTTTTCCTAATTTAGCCAGTTTCATCTCAGCTGGCGAGCACCTCCTTCCTGCGCGTACATGCACGTCTGAAACAAAAACTGTCAAAAGTAGTAAGAGAAGGAGGAAGAGAGGCGCTCCCGGGGGATGGCTCCAAGCATCGCTCCATTTTCTAGGCCACCGCAGCCCTTCCAGTGACAGCTTAAGAGGTGTCATTCAGAAATCCTCTGAGGGAAACATTTTCCACTAAAAATACAAAAACTGACTTCTACATAGAAAGGAAATGTTCTTCCTGTTCCATTTTCAGATATAATTCTGATTCAAACACTTTATTTTAATCTTTTCCCACGATGAGGAGATGCTTAGGCATAAAATTCAGTCTGTTAGTAAGTTGGTAGAAACATTCCCCTAAAGACCTGCAGCTGTAATGAAAGGCGCTTCCACAAAGTATTGACTCAAAAGGAGGAAAACATGTATCCTTTTTCTTTTTCTTTTCAGTCTGTCACACAAAACGGCAATAATTCACGCGAACAGTGTGTGGGTGAAGTGTCTGGAGGATTGTGATCCTCCTACTGTCAAACTTTGAAAGAATGATTTTCCCATCCAGTAAATTTATGCTGGTTTCCTCAGATTCTTTCGTTGTATCTCTGAATTATACGTTTATGATGTCGGGTCATTTAGAACTAGTAGAATAAGCCTTTGTTTTATGGTTTTGCCCATTAGATCTTATATTTACAGCTAAGCAGCACCAGGACTGTCCTGTGAGCTTGCAGCCAGAGGCCGCACACAGTGGAAAATGTGTGTTCGTATTGATTCGACGCTATATATCAGGCTCACAGCAGAGAAACAGTCAGGGTCAGCAGGGTTTTTGGCAATATTGTTATAAAGACAAGATTTCCCATCAGAGTCTGAAGGAAGGAGTGGAATAAAGTCGACGTTCACCTGGAACATGCTCCACCTGCATAATTTAAACGTCTGTCTGATCTGTCAGTAATATCTGACGAAATTTTTTCCTCCAGCCCTCTCCATCTTTTGTTTCTCTTCTCATCTGCACAGCTGCCCATTAAACAGAAACCTCTGAGGGGAAGCTCTATAATCATACATAATGGATGAATGGTGGGTTTGCTGCAAAGAAGAAAAAAAAAGCCTGCGTTAGAAGCGTTATGTGCTGCTCGTGATCAGCTTTAATCTCCTCACAGTTAGACATCAGGTGGGGCTTTAGAGCGGTACAGCATGTCCTCCATTCTTTGCATGCAGTTTATCTAAAGCTTCAGGGCTGAATTAAAAAGCTCTTCAACAGGAAGCTGCGTGTCGGTGTGGAGGAGGGAGACGATCCAGATAAAGACAGGTCTTTTATTTTCCACCTATCTCAGTGTATGGCCGCAGTCAGCCTCTAATTAATAGCTGCCACAGAAGCCACAATCAATACAGCCTCATTAGCCATGTTTGTGTATGTATCTGCTCTCACTTCGGGTCAATGCAGAACCCTGATGGATGGGAAGGCATCAGAGAGCCCAAATGAAAGCCACAAAGTATCAATTAGAAAAAGGCCATGGTGTGTGTGTGTTTGTTTTCCCCACAGAGGGATATTTCCATCAGGCAGTGGATGCGTTCCACCCACCAGAAAAAAAAACTCTTTCAAGGTACGAGCAGCACTTACTCCTGCAGCCGGTGTAGGGAAATGTGTCATGGTCAGATTTTTAAATAAGCCAATCAATACGAAAAGCAGCAGGAACCCTCTGATGGTTAATTACTGCCCCCAAAAAGAGCTGTCAGATTTTATTTTTATTTAAATCAGAAATTAAAAATGTTTCTTTTACTCCCTGGACTCAATAAATGAATTCATTTGCGGGTTTTTTGTGCAGCACTTTGTAAAATCACCA